GCCGCGTGTGTTTTGTTTTGGTTATTCGACCGTTCCGTCCACTCGTAACAACAAACTCCCCGCCTTGAACCGAAGAATGGAGGAACAAGCGGGCGGCGAGGCACAGTGTAACCCTTCACCCGGCGACAGCTCGTCAACAAGACAAGTGCAGCGTGCTATGCGCGTCGAGGTACGGCCGGCCGGTACGGGGACTAGTTCGAGTTGGAACACCAGGACGTTGTACGACGGCAGCAGCCTCGTGTTTTCCTCCACTGCCGTGGCGTGGCGTGCTGCCCTTGGTGCTGCCCCCTGGCGGCAGGGCGCGGCTAGCGCGGCTAGCACGACCGCCCGCACACGACCTGCCCGCTCAATGATGCTCCCAATTTGAAAAACACTCGACCGCCATTACATATTTACGCAAATTAGGCTTTTGTTGTTGTTGGGTCCGGCGAGCGGCATTCATTCATTTGTTCATTCATTCATTAATTCATTATTCCTCGCGCGTCACTTCCGGTGGAAAGGCAAAGCCAAGCCGGGGGTGGGCTTCAATCCGTTCTGAATTCATTTCCAGTCTAAATATCCGGGACTTGGCCTCTGCCTCGCGCGAAGTCACGTCCAGGAAACAATCAGCACGTGTGTGGAGCGGAGTGGTGGTGCGCGGGGAATATGAGAAAATGAAAGGTGAGTTGATTTGGCGCGGCGAGCGCGGCGAGCGGGCGGAGATGTGATGTTGTGATGCGGCGGCATTGTTCTCGCCGCATGTGTAGGGAGGCCGACTTCCTCTGCATTCCGAAGAATCGTTTCGTCACTCTGTCTCACTCGCACTCATGGGGCGTCCCGAGGGGTGCGAGAGAGACAGGGCCCGGCTGCTCGCCGTCCAATCACCTTTGTTTGTCCGTCCTCCTTTCGTTTGTTATCATTTTTGGACTTCCGTTCCGGCGATCGGGGTGATCGGAGTGGTTGCCGCTGGCTGGCTGGCCACGCCGGAGAGAGACCGCGTTGTCTAGCAGTCCAGCGCTACGCCACGAGGAAAAGTCGCGAAGCCGGATGCAGCATGCAGCAGATGCTTCCGAACTCGTCCGCTCTCTCACACGCACTCGTGGGGCGTCCCGTAGGGGTGCGAGCGAGACAGCGCGACGAAGCACTTCGACGACGAAGGCACGTCCAGAGAGCGATTTCGCACCGTGTTTTGTCGCTGTCTCTCTTGCACCTCTACGAGACGGCCCACGAGTGCGAGTGAGACAGTGGGTCGTGTTCGGAATCCAGGTCCACCTGCCCCGCAGCGCCATTGTCCAATAATCCCCCGTAAAATCAACACATCGTCTGTTTGTCCGGGGCCCGACATTCCGAACCAAACCTAACCTAACCTCACCCGCCCGCCCCGCGGGCACGATTGGGTTCAGCGACAAACTTCCGGGTAGGGGAACAAACATTCCTCCCGCGTTCGAACAACAGCAAGGACAGGCGAAGCGCGATCTCGTAACGGCTGAGTTTTCCCGCCAAAAAGATAACTAGGCTGAAGCATGCTTCGGAGCCGACACAAAACTCTGGACGCGCCAGTAGAGTGTGCAGGGTTTTACAAAAAAAATTAAGTCGAGGGGCTGAAAACGTACAAGAAGTTTTCAGCTTGATTTCGGTTATTTTTTTCGCAACTTCTGTGTTTTCCCGCCAAAAAGATAATAAAAAGTCGGTCGGTAATCGCGCGTCTGAAGCAGGCTAAAGGAGGAAGGTCAGGGTCAAGCCGAGGCGAGCCGACCCACCGCAGATATGTTGACACTAACCCTCGTCAGACATGACCACTCGACTCCCATTCATACCTGGCTGCATTCTGCTCTCTCTCTCTCCGTTGTTGGTCCGAATCACCACCCGTTTGTCTCAATTTCCGACGCCACAGAGTATTTTTCCTCTCAGCAGCTCTTCGGCGTCGCCCTTCTAACTGGACTCAGTGTAAAACCGTCGGTCTCTCGAGACACAAAACCATACATGATGACTTAAACTGAGTGTTTTGTAATACTTTGCGGGGCGTTTCACTCCTCGATTTACGCGCACACTTTTTCGTTTCCGCCAGTTTTCTGCTGTTCTCTCCAGCGAGGGACGGAAGTTTCAAGGGAGACTCACGCGTGTCCTGAACATCTGCCATGAATCTAAACTTTTGCGCAGACCGTTCTCGCGGTGCTTTACACTAGAGTGCTCCTGAAAGCTCCGCCGTGCCGCCACCGCTACTCAATACTGTACCCTCCGTCGCCTCCGTCTCCACCTCTCGAGTACGCCATGCACCCCTGAGTATAACCCTTCACTACGCCTGTGTCATATATAACCCCCTCCCCGTCCCCCTGTCTGTCTGCCTGTCTGCCTGCCTGCCTGTCTGTATGTCTGTCTCCCTAACTTTTTATTTGGTTGCGTCGAGGTTCTTCAAACGTGTGGTTCCCGCGAAAATGTTCACACTGAAGTACGGGGTCCCATCCCGTCCACGTAAAATCCTCACTTGAACAAAAAGTCAGTCAAATATTTTTTTAAAACGAATTAAGAGCCTTTATTGCATGGAGCAAAATACACGCATAAATTTTAGCCTCACTTTCCAACCCGCGCAGCTTAACATGGCGGAAGATCGACCATTTCTGTTGACGAATTAAATGGAAATTAAACGAGACGTGTGTGTGTTTGCCCGAACGGCTGTTTGCGGAGAAATAATATGGCGGGTGGCACGCGTGCCGCGGGTGGGGTGCGCCGGGTGCGTGGTGCGCGGGAAGGGCTGCGCAGGGTGGGGTGCTCCGCGCCTAGTCGCACCGCGAGGCACCGCGAGGCACCGCGGGGCTGCAGACTGATTCCGGCCGTCCCTCTCGCACGCACTCCTGGGGCGTCCCGCATAAGTGCGAGAGAGAGTCAGAGCTAAGAAAACGACTCTCGAAATCAGTTTACCGGCGGGTGAGGCCTAACCTAACCAAACCACCCGGCAAGCAGCCACCCAGCGTGTTTCGCAACTACATTAGCACCGATGGGTTTTTGTGCTGATGATGAGAAAAGGGGACTTGGGGCTACTGCAGGCAGGGTGCCGGCAGTGTCTGTGCTTGCGGTTGCGGCTTGCGGGGCTCACCACCCCCGCATGGCCCCGCATGGCGCCGCGGCGGGACGCGCGGCTCCATGGTGCCGCTGCCGTGCTGACGTGTTGGCTTCTTTGCCGAGCTTGTCGCCCGTCAGCTCTTTCCTTTCCGAGCCGCACGCCGCGTCGCCTGAGGGGGGCCGCCGGGCTGCCGTGCTCGCCATCTCCCGGTCGAGCAAACACGCCGCCCACCCCGACGTCGCGCCGACGTCGCGCCGACGTCGCCCGACCCAAATTATGAGCACGCCGACGATGACGGCCACGACGGAGGCAATGCGCGCGTGCATTATCAATGAACTCCATGCGGCTCGGCACCTGTCTGTGTGTTTTCGGCTGTTTTGCGTCGGCGGCCTCGGAGGCCGCCACCAGGGTCGTGGCCTCGGCCGCGCCGCCAGGGTCGCCGCGCACCAGTAATGGGACACAACGGGGAGGCTCTGGAGGGGCGTCGCCGCCGAGGTGGGGCGGACGGCGGGGCGCGGCGCGCGGGGCGGGGTGGCCTTTGGGGTGGCAGGTTGGCCCTCCCCGGCAGCACTCGCCACCTCGCCACTTCAGCTCCCCATGAGCACTCGAGGACCCCGTGCCGCCCCGCCCCGCCCCGCCCCGCCCCCGACTCACCCCATAGTCACCCCCGCAGTCACCAAAACCGCCATCGCCACAATCAACGCGTTCTCGCTCCACGCCACGCCGCGCAGGGCCGCCGAAAGGGAAAGCTCCACAATGACGACTAGGCTGACAGTGCGTCACGCGTCACGGTTCTGATTGGTCGACCGCTTTTCCCCGTTGGCCCGGCGACCAATCGGAGCGCTTCGCTACCCTCACTGTCATTCTCGACTGCCAACTAGAGTCACTTTCCCCGGCATCGATCGCCCCTCGCCCGAGAGGGATACTTTCTGACAAGTTGCTTAGGGAAAATATGAGGAAGAGACAAAGAGGGAAATGGGACGCGAGAAGGAGAGGGAGGGAGAGGGAGAGACCAGCAGCTCCCTCTGCGTCCCACTAGCACTAACAGCATTAGTGAGGCAGTGTCAATATTGGCGGAGCGGGAGAATTGCTGATGTTGGTTCTACGCTGAAGGCAAGCCCCGTGCCACCACGCCGCCGCCGCCGCCGCCCCCTCCGCCCCCTCCGCCCCCGCGCCTTGAATGTGCTGCAGCAGCCACCTCCGCCCTTCCCGCCCTCCAGCGGGGCCCTGTAGGGCCTAGGGCGCAGGGCAGGACCGCTGGTCATCAAAATCCTATGGTGTCACCACCCCAGCGATTATTAAGCGCTGCACTGCAGACAACCCTGGCTAATATCACGGCAAGTCGCCAGCAAAGAATCCGAGTGACACACCGTTCAGAGCCACGGGCAAACAAAGGAGACTTGCCAAAAAAAAATGCCTCTTGCGAAAAATCAAAGTGCTTCTGTAAAGACCAGTTTCGCGTTTTTCAAGCCGCACCAGGAATCAGAAGCACGATGGGTTGCCTATCGCTTCGGCGCGCTGCCGCCGCTTGCGGTGTGGAGGCGGCTTGCTTGGTGTAGCGAGCGTGGCTGCATCTAGCGGCAGAGTTACGAACTACGTCGCCACGGCTTTGTATGGTGCGAATAGTGGTTCTTCTCTTGTTTTGCACCTCTACTGCGAATACGGTATTTGCAGGTAGCGTGACGTGACTCGGGGCAGGAAGGACTGAACAGGCGTCAGAGCGCGACACTGTCGGCTGTGACGTCACCAAGGACCTCTAGGCTTGAAAGCGTCAAAAAACGCAAAGAACCAAAAACTGGGTTGAGTAAAAGGCATTTTCATAATACCGGTGCCTTAGATATTTTTACTGGAGAGTGGTGTCAAAGTGACAAAGCAAAATAAGAGAGTGAAAATTGTGTTGGGGTTAGTCGCCACGGACCTCTAGCTGCGAATACGGTATCCGCAGGTAGAGTTCCTGCCCGGAGTCACTCTGCGGCGCCCAAACGGCCCAGCCAGCGGCTCGGCTTTTCGGTTGTTGTTGCGGTTGGCGTCGATAAAAGTTGGAAGTGTCAGTTCGTGCGATACTCCCCTTTGAATTTCCTACCGATACGCAGCAACTTCGAACCAAATTGAGCGCTTTTTCTCAGTGGTAAGTAAGGCTTTGCTTTTATATTGGCCCAGTTACTTAAGGTGGCGTCGCGACTAAAGTTGCTGCTTAACCTGTCGTTTTGCCCTTATATTTGTTTTATTTTGTCCATAAGATTTATTTCATAAGGTAATCAGTACTTTTCTCACTAGCTGAGTCTATCACTTATTTTTACATTTACTTCCTCACGCCACTCTTAAGGCCTCTTCTGTGTTTCTTAGTTAGCACTTTTCTTCACCTGATCAAAGACATTAACTAGTTGTAACTTGTTTAAAGGATGGTTGTAGCTTAACAGCCTTTGCGCATCATGTCGCATCATCAAACATCTCCTTCGACTGATCTGAGCTCATACCGAGACCAACATTTTAAAGTAAGTTTCTAGTGTCTTGTCAAATGTTTTTTCTGCTTTGAATTTGCTGCCTGCCGTTCGTTGTCTAATGCCATGGTTTACTGTGATTTAAAGGGGTCCAGAGCGGAACAGGAAAGACTTCTGCGCACCAGCACCACCATCTATGTGGGCAATTTGTCCTTTTATACAACTGAGGAACAGATATATGAACTCTTTACCAAATGCGGAGATGTGAAGAGAATAGTTATGGGGCTTGACAAGTATAAAAAGACTCCATGTGGATTTTGTTTTGTTGAGTATCCTTTATGAAGCGTTCTCATCATCCTTTTTTTTCAATCATCTTGACATTCATGTATAATTTTTGTTTCACCAAAAATTTTTCTTAACTGACATAATTTTAGATACTATTTAAGGGCAGATGGAGAGTTGTGCATGCGATTCATCAATGGGACAAGACTTGATGACCGCATTGTGAGAACTGACTGGGATGCTGGTTTTGTAGAAGGAAGGCAGTATGGCAGAGGAAAGTCAGGAGGACAAGTAAGTTCCGTATGCAAATGAGACAGGAAAAGGCTATTGACATAGTTTTTAACATTTTCTTTTAACTACACCTCCCTACTTTTTTTTTTTTTGTGAAGGTGCGTGATGAATACAGAACTGATTATGATGGTGGAAGAGGGGGTTATGGCAAACTGATGCAACAAAAAGTTGGAACCCCTGTTCAAGACATTGGAGTTTTCCGATCGTGACCTTTCCATTGTATCGAATGGGCTCAATCGTCATCAAGCGACTTTCACTTTTTGTTTTGGGCAATTCTAGATCATCAATTTATCAGACTTGGCTTCCAAAGAGCATCTTAATTTTATTGTCTAGATCATTATGTACAGCTTTTCTATCTAAAGAAATAAGATATGAATTCGACCTTCATTCTTCTAAATTGGTAATGTGATACTATATGATGTACATGCAATCTTTACCTACATGTGCGTGACTGAATTAAATTTCACATGAGTTGTGTGTTTGGTTGCTAATGAAGCAGCTACAACTTTTCATTTCATGTTTTATTACAATAAATACATTTCCATTTATAATGTATACATGCTGTTGTTAATTTTATTTCTTTTTAGAATCTTTGGCTAAAATTACACACAGCATTAAAACTAAAGCAAGAAGGTTTAAATAAAATCTCAAGTTATCCCTTCAGGCAAACTATCTTTTGATACATCATAAAACATGGTAAACTATAAACATTTGTCTGTTATGCAGACATTTGTACAATACTGCAGCAGAGAATTTATCAGAGGATTTTGCCCACTACCGTTTGGAAAGAAGTTAAAAATATTCTTACAGTCTTGGGGAAGGGGAATGAGAACAAATTGCAGCAATCCTTACTCTCTTGTTTGAGTGAGGTAAGATTGTCTTTCATTCACAACTGCTCTAACAAGGGCAGAATCAAAGGAAGAATCACAATGGCTGGAAGTAACACTGATATAGGTTCAAACCACTTTGTCAAAAGAAACCTCTTAAAAGACAATTATGTATACACCTACTTTCTAAAATCAAACTTAAAAATGTTTTTGAAGATACTGGATTACATTTAAAAGATCTCTGTAAATAGGGTAGGGGACAAAATATGTAAAAGTACGAAAACAGCAATATATCCTAAAAAGTCTGAAGTATTTCTTACAGAGATCTCAATAGTCAGAAAGCCTGTCAAACTGACACATGAAGCAACTAGTATCTACTGGATGAATCATGATAAATATTTTCAGCAAAAGGGGTACTTGCTCTCAGTCTCAGGCACATATTTTTAGGGTACTGTGGACGGAGCTCTCCATCACAAATTGAAATGCACTTTCTTTGATGTGCATATGCAATACAGAGGTGTCAGTAGCCCTCTTTCCAAACACTGTTATTCTATTTAGACTAGAGGAAGTTGCAGAATAATTTCTTTTTGAGAGGAGTTGGCTTTTTAATTACTGCCCGAACTGCTTCAATGAAGACTTCAGGTAGCCCTTCATTGGCCTTTGCTGAGCACTCTATGTATCTTGATGCGCTGATTTTCTTACGCATTCTTCTGCCTTCGGCTATTGTTACGCTGTCTGCTTGTGTCTCACGCAAATCCGTCTTTGTGGCTGCAACAGAAACAAAAATTTGCAGTTGTTAGAGCCTTTTACTGTGGTAAAAATATTCACTACAAAGAATTTGAATAGAAATGTACACAGCCGATAGACACTTACCAACAAGAACGATGGGTACATTAGGACAATGTTGTCTGATTTCAGGGTACCACTTGCTGAAAATGTTTTCAAAAGAGCTGTGGCTTCCAACTGAGAAGCACAGGAGAAAGCAGTCCGTCTGAAAAAAGACATATACAACAAATTAACATAAACGTCAAACAGAAAATTTAGTGGTGGGTGATTTTGTTGTTAAACTAACATTAGGGTAAGACAATGGCCTAAGTCTTTCGTAGTCTTCCTGGCCAGCTGTGTCCCAGAGGGTCATGTTGAACTCCTGTCCATCGACGGTCAGGTTGTCGGAGTAGTTGTCAAACCTGCAAGCAGAAAACGTGCACAACATTCACAATCGGCGAGGCTCGCGCGCTTCGCGCTCGGTTCTTCCCTTGGAGAACGAGGGGTTGCCTACCCGTGGGGCGTTGCCTCGGCGTTGCCGGCACTTACACTGTGGGGACGTACTCCGTGGGGAAGCGGCGCGACGTGTATGTGATGAGCATGCAGGTCTTGCCCACCATGCCGTCGCCCACGGCGGTGATCTTGATGGGCCTGATCCTGCCCGGGATGCAGGTGGGGTCGGCCAGGATGCTGCCGGTCTTGGCGCTCCTCTTGCGCGTGCGGCCCGAGCGGCCGCTCCAGCAGCTGCCGCCCATCTTGGACCTGGAACACGAGAACGAGTGCAGGGGGTGGTTAGGTCCTCATTTTCTATTGTGCCTTTTTATTTTTTTAATTGTCGGGGAGCGGCCGTGCGCTGCACCGGAAGTGGCGGGGGTTCCCCCCCCCTCCCCGCATCCGCTACATCCATGGCGCACCGCGGCGAGGGGGCAGGGGCACGTGCGGGACGCCAGCCTCGCCAGCCGGGCGATTCCTGCGGATCGTTTCGTCGCTCCGTCTCCCTCGCACTCCTGCAGGACGCGCCTTGAGTGCGACAGAGACAGGGTGACGGCAGCGCACTGGGAATCAAGCGACAATAAAGGCCGACGGCATAAAGAGCGCAGTCGCTCGCAGCAGCCCGGTCTACAGTGTGGGGAATGGCCGGGAGGCCTCTGTCTCGCTCGCACCGTGTGACCCCACCAATGGATTCCCCGTTCGGAGAGCCTTCCATTGGTGGGGTCAAACGTTCGGTTCGAGTCCTGTTTAGCGACTGTGGAGCTCAAAACGCGTCTAGAATTTTTGCCGCCTCCACCGGTCTTCTGGCCCACTGTGCGGTGCTGGCGGAGGAGGCCCGGCCGCCGAGACGGCGTACTTGAAGGGCTCGGGGAGCAACAGGGCGTGGCCGGCCCGGGCGGCCCCGGCGCAAGTGACAGAGGCACAGCGTTGTCAGGACGGCCATGTGTGTGGGGCCCTCGCCCTGGCCCTGGCCGTGGAGGGCGGGGAGGTCCTAGGCACATCCGCGTTGGCTTGGGGAAGAGGGAGAAGGGAAGGAACGCCGTCGAGCGGAGCGGAGCGTCGCCGCCTGTCACCCGCCGACGCCAGCCGCCAGCGCCGCCAGCACGGCCGACTGCTTGAAATGCAGCCCGCTGCGCCCTGCTGCGCCTCGCCCCGCCCCGCCTTACGGTGGTGCGAGACGCCTCGGCATGGAGAGGCTAGGCTCGGAAAGGACATTTCCACGGCTGGGCCGCTGGGCCACTGGGCCGCGACGGCGTCGCGGTGGAGGGAAGTCCCTCCGGACAGCGCACCGCATGCGACGCGCAAACCAAGCTCTTCCTGCACGACGCCCACACTTGTCATGCGCGCTGTCCACCCGCGAGGCCCTCGCGAGTCACCAGGTACCGGAGGGCGCTGTTAGTCAGCCACGCGGTCACTTCGGTCTAAATCATGTATCCCGCTCCGTCAGTAGGAAGCCGCAGGCGTGGTTTTGGTGCGCACTGCGTCGCCGCCCTCGTCTCGTCTCGTCAGTCAACCGATTCGGAACCCGCTCCACATGCGCATCGCGCATCGCATCGCGCGATGGAGCGTTTCATCGTAAAACGTATTTTTAGTTTCATCAAACGAGAGGCCCCCTCGCGATTGCACGCACCACGCCGTCGCGGCACTGCGACCGGCGGGACGCATTCGGTGCCTTTGTCGCTCTGTCTCCCTCGCGCCCGCACGGCACGCCGCATGAGTGTGAGAGAGACAGAGCGACGAAGCACTGTCCGGAATCCATCTGGCTTATCGGGCGACTATCGCCCCGCGAGGCCCGCGGGCGGGGGTGGGGGCGCGTCGCTGCGGCGAGCACCGCGGGCCCGTGCTCCAGAAACCGAAACCAAAGGACAGGTACGCGGCGCGCAGACCAAACTAAAACAACAACAAACTTTCCCGGATTCCAGACTGCAACACGTTCGTAGTCTTGGCTCGAACTTATTTTTGGCGTGTATCGTGCCTCGGCCGGGGTCATCGAGGTCCCCGCCGTCCCGTCGCCGCGTCGCCCTCCAGTGACAACGCGACGCCACGCCACGCCGGGAGCAGTGAGGAGCCATCGAGATATTCTCGTCGACTTGGCGTAACGTCCTAATTGTCTCCGTCGGGACCGTCGGGGCGAGGAAGAAGAAGAAGAAGAAGACTCTCAAGGCAAGGTCGGCCCGGCAAAGGCAGCGGCAGAGCCACGCAGAGCACAGCTGCCCTGAAACGGATTTGGTTCGGGAGTGTCGCGGCTGGGCGGGCGGCCCCGACTGCTGTTTGAGATTCGTCGCCCGGCACACTGTGTGGGGAACATAGAGAAAGGATCGGTGGGGAAGGAGCTCCATCGCCCTGTCTCTCTCGGCACCAAGGAGACGCCCCATGGGAGCGAGAGAGACAGTTCGGTGGGGGGTTGGGAATCGGAAAATCGTCTCTATCGCACTGGATGGGAGTGCGGGCCGCGACGCCGTGCTCGGCGTGTGTCGCGTGCGAGCCGCCGCGACGGTGAGTCAGGCCGCCAGGTCGTCAGGCAGGCCGGGCAGGCCGGGCAGGCCGTCAGGTGGGATGGCGTCACGTCACGGCGGGGCCGCGGGGCCGCGAGGACGGCACGGGCACTTCTTTGTCCGGCGGGTCTCGGGCCTAGTCTCATTCCAAGCGGCGTGTCGTCGCTCTGTCTCTCTCGCACCCCTGCGGCTCGCCCCATGCGTGCGAGAGAGACAGTCCATCTCGGGGCGCGGCCGCTGCACCGTAGGGCTGCAACTGAAGCGGGACGGCCGACGCGCGCGCCTTACGACGGCAATTAGAAAGTTGCCAATGATGGTATTTATTTCTGCGCTGCTTTGAGGAGGCGGAGCGCGGCGGAGGGAACCCCCCACCCCCTGCACGCCCTACACTGCACACTCGTTCACTCATCCTCGGCGTGCCTTCCGGAAACCCGAGCGCGCGCGCACGTGCGCGGCCAGGTACGCGTCGCACGTCGCGCGCTCGGGGTGGACGCCGACGTCGCCGACCTTGTCACTGCTTTCTCCAGGCTGTGCCAACGCGATTGCCGCACGCGGCCAGGACGACGACGTTCACCACTGGGAGGAACGAAACTGAGAAACAGACGAGTGGACCGGTGTCCACACAGTCAGTCAGCCACTGTTTGTCTCGAGTCGATTGCACATTGGCCGCGTTGCGCGCGCGGGAGTTGACAGAGCGCGCTGCCACGGACAACGCGCGGCCCGTGCCGGCGGGCGAACCCCTACCACTGTCACATCGTCACACGCGAGCCGTCACACAGTACAGTCACACGCACTAAGCGCGCTGCACCATGAAGACTCACCAACGGAGCACCGAACACAAAGAGACGCGAAGGTGAAGCGAGTAGCGAGCGTTGCCGTTAGGTTAGGAAGTCGTCACCGCCTTAGGCCCCCGGCCCGCCAGGCCCCAGCCCAGGCTTCCCTTGCTGGAGTGAATCACTCTGGCAACTAATGGGCCGCGCCGCCCGGGCCAGGCGAGGAGGGCGATGGGGGCGGAACCAGGCGGGATGCCCAGAGTGAGTGTACTCGAGGAAGGGGAGAGCCTCGCGCCTCGCGGGCCGCGCCGGAAAAAAAGGAACGTTTTTAATCTAATCTGGCCTGTATCACCCACGACACTGGGAAAACCGGGCAACCGGGCGGCAGGCAAGACTACGACGGCCAGCTTGGTGGCGGCGAGGATCCCCCGCCTGGACAACGCCGACAAGAAGTGCAGCTGGGTGTTGCTCGAGTATGGAGGACATCCTGTTCATCAGCAGACGGATTCCGAAGCGCTTCTGTCTCTGTCGCAGCTCACGCGGGCGTCCCCTAGGGGTGCGACAGAGACAACCGATTGCTCGCGGCGGCGCCACTGATAATAAGTGACTGCGAGGAGACTCGTGAACCATCGCGGTCGGTCGCTAAACGGCAGCCAATGTGCCGGCGGGCCGTGACGGCCCCGCCTTGGGAGTGGACCGTGGCGCCTGGTTTTCGCTGGGCTAACTCTAGGGACTGTTTGGGCAAGGCCCGACTTCGACTGGTGTAGGGCCGCCCACCCTGCCCGCCCTGCTCACCCTGTGGGTGGTCGGTGGTCCACGTGCATGAGTGCTACGCATGTGTCGCGCCGCGGTGGCTGCAGTAGGCAAGGGGTTACGATATGCGGGCACTGTCATTGTCCTGGGTGCAGCCGGGGGGTGGGGAGGGGGGGGCGGATGGCACGCGTCGGGTAATGCGCCCTGGACGGCCTGGACGACGCGGCCCGGCCACGCGGGTCCCTGACCCCCTTGCCGTCACCGCCACGCCCTGCCCGTTCAAGTGGGCTCCAGCCGGGCCCGCCGGCCCTGCCGAGCCCAGCCCACCAGCCGGCCGGGCTGCAGACCCTGCAGACGCGCCGGACGCGCCCAGTGCCATCATGGCCGTCATGATGCAGGAGAATGACCAGCATGGAGGTGGCGCGGTGCGTGCTCTGCTCCACTCCCGGGCCGCGTCATTCAGGGACGACGGCAACGGAGGGGGCGTCAGTAAACAGGGCGAGGCGGGAAAGGTCGCATCGGCCGCGCCGGCCGCACCTCCAGGAGCCACATCGAGGGGGCGGAGCGGACGAAGAACCCCAGGATGGCCGAAGTCTGCGTCGCTGCGTCTCGGACTCCGTCAGGCAACCCGCACACGAACCAAGCGCCCAAGCAGGGCTGGGGGACCGAGCCCCCGGTCCAGGACCATCAGGACAGCATCCGGGCCGCCGGCGTCGGCGCGGCGTCGGCGTCGGCGTCGGCCGCCACGCCGAGGGGATGGCGGCGCCTCCATGGCCTGTGCCGGATGCGGCGCAATGCGGCGCGGGACACCCTGCGTGCTCAATAAGGCTAAAATGGGTCGACGGCCGGGCGGCGCTCCGCGGTTCGCGCTTCGCGGTGCTGAGCCGACGTGTGCCTACGCCACTGCCACGCCACTGCCACGCCACTGCAGGCTGTCGCCGCACTCTGCACTCCGCCGCTGGCTCGGCCGCTCGGCGAGGAGCCCAATGGGAGTCGAACCCACGCTGGGTTCGCGGCGCCGCGTCGCGTGGGCTGGCCAAAGGAGTCCGGCGCGGCTAGCGCGGCGCTGCACTGCACCCGGTGGAAATAAATCCGATGGGAACTGCGGCCGACGGGCCGACGCGTAGCGAAAGGCTGCCAAAGCCAAATTGATACCGAACCGCCGCCAGAGCGACCACAACGGCGCGCGCCTCCGCCCTTCGCGGCCTTCACAGTGCGTTACGAATTTGTCCACACTGTTATCAAATTC